GACCAGCAACACACACACACACACACACACACACACACACACACACATTTATTACAGGTTAATAGCAGCTGGACCATGCAGTACTCACAAATATTGTGAGTTCATTCTCATGATGTCTCTATGATCTCTATGTCTCTTGATCCTGCTTATCAAATACCTTGTTGCTTGTGACATGAGACAGGTCCTTTTGCCTACTGTGTCCTTCTAAAGACCACCTGCATATGAGCAAAACTTCCCACCTATGTCCATCCAGGAACTGTGCAGCTACTATGCCTTACATGTATTCCCCAGAGGGTTGGAGAGAAGATTCTCAGTTCTGGGCATTAGAACCCATTGGGAGACCACCAGATCACAAGGCTCTGCCTACTTGAATAGATGAATGCAATTATTATAGAATTGGCTTGTTCCTGTGAGAGTAGGTACTGGGTAAACCAAAGGAAACCTAGACTCATCCTTTATTTAAAGGGGCACGCTGGCTGTCTGCTTACCTGCCTTCTCATTGGTGCTGATCTTCAGCAGTGTTCTTGGCCCCTCTGGGAATTTCATCTGCAGTCTGATAAGGGCATTCCAAGGGCAGGCAAGTGGAATAGAGGCAAATGTGAGTTTGAGATCAGACAGATGGGTTGGACCCTAATGTTGCTCTGCAAATTATTTTATTTTATTGTTGGTCATGGGGCTTGAACTCAGGACCTGGGCATTGTCCCTGAGCCCTTTTGCTCAAGGTTAGTGCCGAGTACTTTGAGCTATAGCACCATTTCCATTTTTTGAGTGGTTAATTGGAGATAAGAGCCTCATGGGGATTTTTTGTCCAGGATGGCTTTGAACCACAACCCTCAGATCTCAGCCTCCTGAGTAGCTAGGATTACAGGTATGATCCTCTGGTTCCTGGAATTCTCCTAGTTACTAGTACATCGTTGAGTTCATCTGGCCCTCAGTCCATTAGTTTTTAAAACTGGGATCCTAACACCCATTTTTCAACAGTTGCAAAAATCTGACATAGAGTAGGTGGGCGGGTAATAAATGGTAGTTATTATTATTACTCGAACCTGTCACCAGACCATATTTGATGCCTGAAACTCAATTTTTCCATTAAAAAACCAATGCCTTGGGAAAAGGTAAAAAGCTACTTAGATTCATTCAACTAATCTTTTTTAGGGCCATCATTCATGGCTTAACCATTAAAAAGAGAAGAAATGTAAAACAATGCACATTAAAAACAGCTGAGCTATTTGATTGAAAGAAACATTTCAATGTAAACACTCTGAAGAGATCCATGGGGAATGTTTTCAAAGATTTTTTTTTTAAAGAAAAAGAGTAAAATAAGGCCTAGCACTATTGGGATTTGGAGCAGAGGAAGGCATGGATGACAGGTGGACTGAGAAGGGTGTAGGAAACTGGACTCAATTTCTGGAAGAAGTTACCTGCCAGTGGGGGACGCAGAGCTGAGCAGCCCCAACTGAGGTAGTAAAGGGCAGTCAGTCAAATATGCACACAGAGCAGAAAGTGGGGGTGATAGGTGGGTATGATTACTTCCTGGGTGATAAGGATCATGCCCAGAGGGATGGATGTCCTAACAGGCATTGAGATGGACCATGGGGGGGGGGCGGGCCCAAATCCTCACAATATGAGCAGACTCTACCTCTGAGCTGGGAGTTTGGAGACAGACAGCCATTCTAGGAGAAGATGATAAGAAGAGAAGCAGATGCAGATGCAGGCTGCTGATGTTTCATCACGTTCTGGAGTTGCAGCCCAGAGTATGCTGCCATCTAAATCTCCACTGTCTCATGTATGGTAAGGAAGTGCAATCAAGTGTATACAGTCTGGGACCTTGGAAAGTGCATTTTATTTCCATTAATACTAAAAAGAACAGGGATAACTTTAGCTATTCCTCACTTGCTCTGCTGTACCCTGGTTCTTGACACCCAAAGTGACTTGTGGTAGTGGCTTAGCTTCCTTGCTGGTATACCTGCTTCTCCCTTCCTTCCTCCTAATGGATCTCAGCCTAGCTGCCAGATGGAGCCTGTTCCTACAGCTCAGACTATGGCTGTGCTTTGCTGGATAACCTCCCATTGTGGAAAGCCAAAGTCCTCACCATGCCTAGGCCCTGTGTGATGTCTCCTGCATTTGACTGTGGGTCTATTGCCTTTCCCTTGCTCACTGCTTCAGTCATACTGGCTCCTACCTGTGCTTTAAGCATGCTAGCACACTCCTGTCCTGTGGCCTCTGCCTCTCACTGTTCCTGCTCATAGAAACATTATTTGCCAGTCTTTCTTACCGACTTCCCTTAGGGCTCTGCAGAGAAGTTGACTCTATGTGCCCTTACCTGACCTCTCTATGTCCGATGGTACCTCTGCCTCCTGTCTCCATCCTCTTTTCTGTTGTATTGTTGTCCATGGTGTGCTTCACAAACCCACATGCTGAAATGCTTTTTATTACTATCTATACTCTCTCTCTCCCTCCTTCCCTCCCTCCATTAGAATGTCAGTACTACAAGGCCAGGGATGTGGAGCTGGTGAGGAGACCCTGCCAAACACTGGTTGAAGGAATGAATAGCTTCTGAAATGACAGAGACTGGACTCCAGCACCAGAGGACATGGACTCCAGACCATAACCAAGACAGAAGCTCATGCCTAGGGACCCAGTTACCCATACTGGAACATGAGGCCAAGCCTGGAGGAGGTCTGAGCCAGAGGGATGCCCAGGTGTGCAAAGTAGGGCATGAGATCAGAGCTTGGCCTGGAGCCAAGCAGGGAAGATGGAGCTCCTTTGTTCAGGACTGGTCACTGCCCATGTGTCTTGGGGCCAGGTCACTCCATCAGTAAAGACAGAGAGGCTGAAAAGCAGGATACCAGGCAAGGCCTTCAAAACCTTAGTAAATGTCAGGCAAAGTTCTCCCAGCTTTTAACTTATTTCCTAACGTAGGCATCTGTGGATACTCTCTATTGGCACAGTTTACAAGGAAAACACAAATGACTAAGGGGGAAAAAAGTGAAAATGGTTGCTCAGAACCCTGAGCTGAGTTGCTGAGAAAGGGCAGGTGCCAGAGGGATGGAGGATGTCTGTGATGTCGAGTGGTAATACTGGCAGAGTGAGCACCTAGGGCTATGCTGGCTTCTGGACCTCTTTTGTGTGTGTGTGGGGGGGTCATGGTGAAGATGCTCAGATGAGGTATGCTCATGCAAAGCCTCCTTGGGGGAAGAAGGAACAGTAAAGGGAGCCTGGGAGGTGATGCCTACAGAAGCCTACAAAGAACAGCTGGGGCAGGCAAAGTTGGCCTGATTTCACTGGCGCTGTCCAAGGTACTGTCCAGCAGCTCTGCTCAGCCTCTGCTCTGGTCTTCTGTCTTGGGGGATTCAGGGATGCGCTGAAAGAGCAGGTCTGTGGCAGAATCCGATCCAGCTCTCTTTCCAAATGCAGATCGACTACTAGAGTCAGCACAGGTATATACTTACCTACTTTCTGCACCCTGCAGGTATAAACAGGTCCTGCTGGCTCTCTGTTCCAGTCCCCCTTCGTGGCTTTCTCTGTATACTTGGCAAGCAGACTTCCTCCCGTAATGGGGGGAGAGGGGGTAGATAACAGGGCTGTGGTCTGGTTACATTATAAGGCAGGTAGCAAGCCTCCGTGAAGGGTAAACTTTTACCTTTGTTACAAGGTCGTGGATACAGACCACCAATGATCGATTGGTTCAGGCTTAAGAATGTTTTGTGATTTGCTATTTTACGGTGTCCCTCGAAATCAGCTCCTAAGGTTTTAAAGTTACAATGAGCCAATTCCCATTCTTCAAGGATAGGCACTTGAGGACCTAAGGTCTATGCCATCTCATCAACATTTGGCCCAAGTCTGCTTGGCAGTGTGGCCAGGCAAACCCGTGGAGAGAGTCAAGTTGGGCTGGGCGGGGAGCCGCCTCTCTCTAGCTTTAGGGACACAGCTCCTACCCAGGGCAGAGTTCTAGGGCGGGGTCCTCGGGGAGTGGGGGCCTCCCGGAGGTCAAATGGTAACACACTCAAGGCCCTCCCTGGGGTTGGCCAAAGGCATCCGGTGGCCACCAGAAAAGGTGTTCTCCGTCCAGGTCCCAAGGATCGGACAGCCTAGCATCCAGGGGCTTTCAGGCGCGGGCGCACCCCAGGGCCCTCGGACTCCGCCGCACACGAGGGCGCAGGCTGTAGGTGCCTCCAGGACGCGTTCGTGGAAGGCAGACTTGCTCGCCGGGACCTGCCTGCGAGAAGCAAGTGTTCACCCTCCGAGCAGGTGCTACAGGAAGCGGAGGGCGAGGCGGCCCCAGCCCCTGCGTGTGGCAGCGCGCAGACCCGGTTCCCTGATCGCTGTCTCCCCCCCCCCCCCCGCCCCGCGGAGCTCAGCTCCCAACCCCTCCCTCCGCCGCCCCCAGGCTGGGCGGGCGGCGGGCAGCGGCCGCAGGTGCGGCGAAGGCCCGGGGGGCGCGAGCGTGCGCCTGCCGGGAGGACTCTGCCCTCCCTGAGGCCGCCGCAGCGCCAGCGCCTCCCCCTCCCCCGGCGCGCACCGGGCCGCCACCGCCACCGCCACCGAGCAGCCTCGCCTTCGCCTCCCGCGTTTCCTGCCGCCCGCCCTCCCCCGGCCGGGCTCCAGGGGCTGCCGCCTAGCAGCTCCGGGCGGGAGAGCGGCTCGGAGAGCGCACGGGGGCGGGCGGAGGCGGCCCGGTGTGGGGCGGCCGTGCCGGAGAGAGGAGAGCACCGAGACGCCGGCCCCCCTTCTCTGCGCTCGCTCGCTCGCTCGCTCGTTCCCCGCCTCCTGCACTCGGCGCGCTCGCTCCCACCCCTTCCCGGCGTGATTGATCCGTCACGGGCGCCGCCGCCGCCGCCGCTGCCGCGGCCGTTCTGAGCGAGCAGGAGCTCGAGCCGGAGCCGGGGCCCGAGCCGGCGCCATTGCGCGGGCGCCGCCGGGAGAGCTTGGCGCCGGGCGGCGGGCCGGGCCTGGCCATGCGGGCCGAGTGAGCCGGCGCCCGCAGCCCGCGGCGCGGCATGGCTTCCCCGCGGAGCTCCGGGCAGCCCGGGCCGCCGCCGCCGCCGCCGCCGCCGCCGCCGCCGCCCGCGCGCCTGCTGCTGCTCCTGCTGCTGCCGCTGCTGCTGCCGCTGGCGCCCGGGGCCTGGGGCTGGGCGCGGGGCGCCCCCCGGCCGCCGCCCAGCAGCCCCCCGCTCTCCATCATGGGCCTCATGCCGCTCACCAAGGAGGTGGCCAAGGGCAGCATCGGGCGCGGCGTGCTTCCCGCCGTGGAACTGGCCATCGAGCAGATCCGCAACGAGTCGCTCCTGCGCCCCTACTTCCTCGACCTGCGGCTCTACGACACCGAGGTGAGGGACCGTCCGGCGACCGCTGCCGTCGGGGCTCCGGGGGCGGCGGGGAGGTGGGGGGCGGGGGGAGTGTTGGGCAAGCTCTAGTCTTTGGCCGGAGCCGCGACGAACCCGCCCGTGCCAGCCGAGGGCACCGCGGGGCTGGTACTCAGTGCTCAGCCCTGGGGTCCTGCTGGGTTTGGCTGGCATAGCAGGTACCCAGATTTGAGGAGCATCATCTTTCTCAGGGAGTGTGTGTGTGTGTGTGTTTAACCAGCAAGGGAGCGGAGAAGGTGGACCCCAAAGGCCTGCTGCAGTGGTTGCCCCTGCCCAGGTGCCGCTCCCGGGGCCGTGAGGTGCCAGGTGGGAGGAACAGGCGCACTGACTCTAAGCCGGGCCGGCTGAAACCGGCGGGGGCTGCGGCCTGTCACAGCCCCCCACAGGAGAGCCCGGACACGCTAGGTCCAGACGGCTCCGGGACCGGAGGGGCCGGGACGCCCCGCCGCGCTGGGCGTGCTGTGCGCGCCCGAAGCGAAGGAGCACACCCAGCGCCGGCAGGCGTGGGGCCGGGGCTCCGCCGCCGCGCCGCGCCGCTGCCGGGTGTTCCGGGCGCTGTCCGTAACCCCGGCGGCTGTATGAGGGAGACCCCCTTCACCTCCCCGGGTCCGTTGCTCAGAGTGCCCTGGAAGGTCTGCGCTTAGAAGCGTGTTCGTGTCCGGGGCCGCCCCACCGCTGTTGGCCGGTGGCTTGCAGGGCGCGCACTTAATCCAAGTGCAGACTTGAAGCGTCCCGGGAGCCGGGGCACGGACTTAAAAGAGCGCAGCAGAGGGCTTCCCTCCCGGCCTCTTTCTCGGAGTCGAGTCCGAGAACCCTAGAGCTTTCCGTCCCCACGCCATCGGTTTGGGTTTCTCCTGAAGCCTCCGCACGGACCTCCTCTGCCCGCCGTGGGGCTGGGGCGCCCTGGAGGAGGCCTTGGAGGGGCGATCGCCGGCCGCGCAAGGTCGGGTTCGCGAGTTTTTTCCGGACTGCGGGAGCCCCCAAGCCAGTCCACCACATCTGAGATGCGGCCTGAAGGGGGCAGTGATTTCCCGTGCCGTGCGCTCCGTTGGCGCCTCTTCCATGGCGCCAAGCACAGCCAAAGCGCTGGGCTTGACTCCTGCATCCCCCGGGCTTCCCGGGTGCCTGTGTCCGAAGCTCAGGTGCAGAGTTCTCTCGGGGAGGAGGATCGCACCGGGTTTAGTAGTGCAACCTGGGCTTCTCCTCCTCAGGCCCCCTTCATCCCCCGCGTCTTTTTTATGTCCCCCGGGAAAGAACAGAATCTGGGTTGTATTTTATTCCCTACCTCCCCCGCTTCACTGATGAACCAGTCTGCTCTGCTGTAAATAAAAGGTGAAGGAAACGGTGGCAGTTGGCGGTGGTGCGGGAAGGCTGCTGCAGGCGGCGGGGTGGGGAGAAGACGGCCTCTGCCCCGGGAGGATGCCTGCTGGGTGGCTGTACAGGGCTAACCGGCTGTGAAATCATTTCCGAATGCCATTCCTGTCGCCCTCTTCTCTGCCCTGAGCCTTTCAAGTTCTCTGGGGGCACTTGTCTGGCACACGAACGTGGAGAGCCATGCAATTACACCCAGGCATGTCCTCCTGGCACCTTTTCTCTGTTGTTGCTTCCATACTTAATCTTCTGGAAGGGAGAGCCGGTTCTTGGGAGGCCAAAACATTTGCAGACAGGGCAGCCCTGCTTGCATCACTACCAAATAACGCCAGCTGCAAAATGTTTCCACCAGCAATTCCTGCCCTTCCCCAGGTTTCTCTGTTCAGCCTGTTTGTGAGTAGCTGAGTGGAGGGGACTTGGTTTCAGGGTGTGAGTATGTCTTGATGACTTTCTAAGTGAGAGGGCCTAAAGTCAAGAGGATGAGGCAGTCAGAGACCCCGCAGTTTGTGGGAATGTTTAGGCAACAGTGGTAAATAAGAGGACAGAGGCGAGTTTCAGTATCAGGCAGGTCTTTGGCCATTTGAAAGAGCTTGACCCAGGGCTTTGGGGAAGGTTGATGGAGTCCACTCAGACACTGTTACCTTCCTCCCAGGTGACCTTGAGCTGAGTATCTAATCTTTGTAGCCTAGATACGCAGGTTGGAACAGTGGGACTGTTTGTTATAAACCCTGCAGGGTGGCAATAGGAGACTTACAGCATGATGCCTTGAGCAGGCAGGCTCAGCCTCTGTTGCTCTGTCTGACATGCTGTAAGCACTTGACAAATGATTCTACCTTCCCATCTTCCTGTGGATTCACCAGTAAGACCCCTGTGGCTTTAGGTGGGATAAAATATGGTCACAACTAAAATATGAAGAGCACTTCTGTCTTTTACTTGCTTTTGAAGTCTCCTGGAGAGTCAGGGAAGTTATCCCCGGAAAAAGGAATTCTGGCTGAGGATCAAATATATTATCTCTTGCCATGAGGTACCACATTTGGGAGAGTGCCCAGGTAATATAATTAGTTACTATTTTTCAAGTGACCTTATCTTTAGAGATGTCATGTTTTTAGTTTTGGCTTTTCTTTTTTCTCTCCCCGCCCCCCCCCCCCCCCCCCCGCTTTTTTTTTCTTCTTTTTGGCCAGAGGATCAGTCTGGGTAATTTGCAGCACAATTCAGGGCCACCCGAAGGGTGTTTGTGGCTTGTTGGAGAATGTGTGGGTTTGTTCTGGCTTATTCAGAGGGTCTGTGTTTGTGGATTGTATATGCTGCCTAATCACTTGCCAGCCATGTCACTTACTGTCTAAGGACTTGAATGCAGGATGGATGTGGTAAGCAGATTTTTGCTGGCTTTGTTGCTGTTTGTTTTTATTCAGTAGCTTCAATAGCCAGTGGGAATGCGGAACTAGAATAGATCTGGGTCTACACAGCCTGCAAGAAGATGGAGATTTAGTAAGGAATGGGGTCACCTGGTCACTGGGGACGGACTGGCTCAATAAAAGGGCCTCCCACGTGTATTTTTCTAGGTTGAAACCTTTACTATGATTAGAAAACCAACCAAACTTTCAAAGAACTCATTGCCACGTGTTTGTAAAAATGAAGTATGGCAATTGATCATCCATCTGTCAGAACCTCTGCTTTCCTGGTATCATACAAATCACTTGAGCAAATACTTGTCTAATTTTCCCAAGGATGATTTGCATCAATTGAAAACACAAGCCAGACACGGACATTATAAAGGAAAGCATCAGAAACTTTATGAAAGCAGGGAAATCAGCATATCAAAGCAAAAATAATTATTGTTTTGTTTTGGTCCTGGGGCTTGTACTCAACGCCTGGGCACTGTTCCTGAGTTTCTTTTTGCTCAAGGCTATCATTCTGCCATTTGAGCCACCTGGCCACTTCTGGCTTTTTTTCTGAGTAGTTTAAGAGTCTCATGGACTTGCTGCTTGGGCTAGTTTCAAACCATGATCCTCAGATCTCAACCTCCTAAATAGCTAAGATTACAGGCATGAACCACTGGTGTCTGGTCAGTTATTTTATGTATCAACTTTTTTTTTCTGTCAGTTGTAGGGCTTGAACTCAGGGCCTGGGCACTATCCCTGAGCCTCTTTGTGCTCAAGGCTAGCGCTCTACCACTTGAGCCACAGTGCCACTTCTGATTTTTGAGTGGTTATTTGGAGATAAGAGTCTCATGGGGACTTTTCTTCCCCGGGCTGGCTTCGAACCATGACCCTTAAATCTCAGCTTCCTGAGTAGTTGGGATTACAGGCATGGCTTTGTATTTACTTTTTTTTTTTTTTTTTACTCTAAGCTTCCCAGAAGCTTAGTAAAATCAGTCCAGGTAAAAAGGTAAACTTGGTGGATTACATTACTTATGTGTTTGACTTAAAAGCATCTGGAAGAGGATTCCTCAAAAAATAAAAGTTTTATAGAAGAGTCAGAAATGTTTTCTATGTGGCTGTTTCTCATTCTTTGGTAATCAGTAATATAAAATAATAACCAAAGAATGAGTTTAAAAATAATGTTGGAGGTGGCTGGGAAGGTGGTAGAGTGCTTGTCTTGCATGCATGAGGCCCTGGGTTCGATTCCTCAGCACCACATAAGCAGAAAAAGCCAGAAGTGGTGCTGTGGCTCAAGAGGTAGAGTGCTAGCGTTGAGCTGAAGGGCTGAAGGACATCACCCAGGCCCAGAGTTCAAGCCCTACAACTGACAAAAAAAAAATTAAAAAATAATGTTGGAGTTCCAATTCAATTGTTAATTTCAGTAAAATTGACAATTATAGAAGAGCATGAAGAAAATAATTTCCCATAATCTACCTATGCAAAAATAATTGCATCTCATAATTAGGATAATTTCCCAACAGTTGGTTGTGTTTACTATATCATGAGTTGAATTTTATGCCAAGCACATTTTTATACTTTATTTCATTGAGTTAACAATATATCCTGGGTATTATGTTCTCAGATCCTTTTTGTAAAGAAGATTTTTAGTGGCTGTATACTATTCTATTACCTGGGTATGTACATGTTTAGTCACTCCTAAGCTATTGGATTTATGTTCCACTTGTTTTTCTTTTAGACTATTCTGTGGTAGACTAAAGAAAAAGTTCAGGATTCCAAAGAAGTACAGACCATCCTGATGTGGGACTCTACCATAGAAAACCCAGTGATTGACACACATGCCTATTACTCCAACATCACATGTCTATTCTCTTATCTGTTATGCTTTAGAAGGGATTCAGACAACTGGAGGCTGAGGCTGAGCTTCTTTTTTGGGGGGAGGGAGGACTGAGCACAGCTCTTCAGGTGTTTGCTGTGCACCTGCAGGAGCTACTGTGCTGCAGAAAGGTGTAAACCACAGCCCTGACTTGAGAGAGACAATCAGTGAATAAAAACCAGAGCAAGAATGTACTCATCATTTTCAGTTCAGGATAGAAAATGAGAGTGGAGATGGTTGCATAATTCTGTGAATGTACTAAAAAAAACCATGGATTCATACATCCTAGAAGAGTATGTGAATTATATCAACACAGCTGTTATTAAAAATAAAAAGAT